GCCTCATCGTAAACCTAGAGGTACAGGGAGGTTGAATAGGGGTACTTGAGGTGTGCCTGGTAGGCCACTTTACTTTCAGGAGCAAGAGTGTTGTCCTTGCTACTCTTCCATGTATCTAGCTAGACTGGTGAAGAGTAAGGTATTTTAGGAGATATTTTTAATTAGCTGTCAGAATCTCTGTTTCTTAGCTTTTGCTTAGACAAATTTTTAGTGGTGCACTTGGAATTTTGCCTCAGCAAGAGTTGATGGACTTCAGTACTCGGATTTGTCAAGATTATGGTTTGGGTTTTTTTAAATAATGCATACCATGGCTAAAGAGGGAGGGAGTCTCAAGGGCTTCATTTGCTAGTGTGAAGCCTGCCTCCTTTCTCATTCAGGGTCACCTAACTTCCCTCCAGCATTTTCAGGAACTACTCACAAGGAAAAGTGATACTAGGACAAGACTGCATTATTTTTAGCTTTCAATCATCTCCTGTCTTCTTTTTTCTCTCTACTGAAAAAAATGAAAAGCACTACCAAATGCAGACCTTTTCCTGAACTCAGCAAGTCCCAAGAAGCTTGGATCTGGCCTCAAGTACCTCCTCATGTTTTGCAGATAGCCATCACAGGCTCTGCCAGGTGTCTTTTGCCGTGCATCAGAGGTTGGGATACTCTGTAGCAGAGCAGAAGAAGATTGTAAGGTGTGTGTTTACTAGAGAATATTTTAAAGGAAGTACAGATGCTTCTCTAACTGCTTGAGTACGTGCACTCCCATCAGTGGCAATGAAACCAGCTCTGATTACGAGCAAGGAAAGCAAAAGCAGGTTTGAATCTGGTTCAGGAAGCCTTTGATTTTCTGAGAGATCCAGCTAGGCTTGAAGTTGCAGTTCATGTCCCATCTCTTCATGTCAAGATATGACACAGCATGTAATAAAAGCATATTCATCCTATTTTGTATCAGCAGGACTTTTAAAATAATTAGGGTGGGCTGCACAATGTGCAAACATGACAATATAAACTAAAAATATTAAACTAATTCAGACTGAGCTCTCACTTCAAGGGCATAAAAGAGCACCAAAGTTGCTGAGGGAAAATCACATTTGGTTCTTTTCATACCAAGGACTTCAAGTCTGTATGATGTCAAGTGACGAGATGAATGTTGTCTTTCTGCCAACTAACTATGTTTTAAGTGGCAGTTGAGAAGATAGAGGGGGTTTTTTTACCTCCTGATGACTAAATTCAAGGGTTACTTACAGTGACAAAACTCCTAATGTAATTATATTGTAGCCACTGAAATCAATCTGGATTTCTTTCATGGTAAATGGCAAGCAGGAAGAGTATGACCTGTACTCTTCGCCATCCCAGGCCTCGAGATATAATGAACCCCAGTTGGTGCGGTGGCTCGTGAGTGTTGGTGACCATGTGCCCTCCTTTGTCCTGCCCTGCACCAAGTGCTCTTAGCCTTGTCCTTGCTACTGGGGGCAGTCTGGTATTGCATTAGAAAACAGTGAATCCAAACCGCAGCAAATAGCTTTCTTCTTGTCAGAATACCAGACTTAATGTCAGGAGATTTTTCTTATTGTTTTTAAGTCCCCGTGATGTTCAGTTTGGTCCCAAAAAATTCCCTTCAGTTGGATGGCAGGGCAAACGTAATGACCTCGGCTGGTCAGGGCACTGAGGGGAGAGGCCTCGCATGCTCCACTTGCTTGGCACAGCAAGGTAAATCACACTACGCTCCTGGTGTAGCTTTCCTTCCTCTCCCACTGTTCCTTCTAATGCCTTGAAATGCCAACATTAAAGTAAAATCACTTTCCCGGCCTTCCTGATATTCTTCCCTGGGTACATCCATACATAATCACTCTTTCCTTTGAGAGAGAATGTCTACCTGCTCATGACCCCTTCTGGCATGTGTCCTGCTGGATGTGCTGCGGGTGAGAAGGTGCAGCGTACGTGTGGGGAGAGTGGCAGACCAGTGCCCCCAGACCACTGGAAGACAGGGAGCACAGGTTTGGGATGAGAGCTGTACAGGAGGTGTTTGGCTTGTCTGTATGTTTCGTACCTTTTTAATTGTGCGTCCCAGGTCTCAGCCCAACGATAAACACCTCTCCCTCAGCCTTTCTGCAGTGCATTCCCTTTCGCAGCAGCTTGGACAGGAAGAACATCAGAAAAGCTTCAAAAAAAGTGTTGTGGTGTGTTTCAGATTACTAATGTTAAGTGTAGTAGTACGTTTTGATGTAGCATTGCATCTCAGAAAGGGATAAACTGGGGAGTAATTAATTTGTTTAGGCAGCAGGGCTGGCTTTTAGGCCTTACTTTCATATTGCACCTTCAGACCTTGCTGATGCAGCAAGCACTGGCTTCTGCAAGCAGCTGCCTGCCTGGTGCACCCCACTCGTGTCTGCGGGGGTAATTCAGGGTGCAAAACTCCTCTCACCTGGAGGTGCTCATAAGGCTTGGTTTGCCTTTACAATGCTGTCTGATGTTTTGGCCTCTGAAAAAATCCGTAAGGGTTTTGCAAGTAAATCTTGTTTTTGTGAAAGTAGGAGCTAGATGAAAGGAGAGGCCAGGGCTGCCCTGTGGTGGACACAAACAGGTTCCAGCCGGCTCCAAAGGCCTTGGGGGAATTGCTATAGGGGAAGATGTAACTGAGTTGGGATCAGGATATCTGGGATTAAGAAAATTAAGTCAGAATTTCTGAAGCACTAAATCACCCAACAGCTGTTTTTCATTGAAAGCTGGGGGGGGAATGTTTATTAGCAATCAGGTCATTTAAAAACCTGACCTTGGTGTAACACACAAAAGCGATGCCTATGGATTAAAAAAGCAGGAGCACTTCCCAGCTCCTGGGTGCAGATGTGCACTCCAACCTCCTCTCAGCTTCTTGCTGAGCTGAGATCTGGGATGTACCCTGTTTTTTCACCCCACTCTAGTCTCCCTCTGCCTTGATTTCCATGGGAAGGCATGGGGCAAGTAGAAACTGTGGGGGACCACTAACAGTGGCCCCATGATTGCGTACGGTGCAGGGTACACCTGCTTCACAGAACAGATGGATCCTTTAGGAGCAAATAAATTTATTTTCTTGTTGTTTAACTTGTGGGGCTGGATGTGTTATTATTCTCTTTGTGTAATGCCAAGCTTTGCCAGTTCAGGTTTGGCCATGCAGGGGATGTTTTGCCAGTGTAATACTCTATAACTGTATCGATACAATTTCACTGATGTAGATAAGGCCCAAAAAGGGTCATTTAACAGCAACATATTTTTAAGTTTTGAACAGTTTGGTATTTGCAGGACCCTATCGGATCCACCTCAGTCTGTTCAAAACATAGACGGTTAAAACTATTCATATTGATTTGTGGCAGATCTAAAAACCCCAGAAAAATGTTTAAATACTGGGAAAAAAGCACATGTTGTGCAAATGTGCGCATATCTAGGCCAGTTGGCCCAGTCACTGTCCTGGACAAAATCACGAATAAGACTGTAAGTAGTAAGCATTACAGGATAATGTGTAATAAATGTCAGGCAGTGAAGTAGTATGGAAAATACATCTTGACATGGAAATGTCATTGTTTCTTGGTGGGATCACAACTTCAGTTGGTAAAAGTTACTGAGTTCCTGTCATAAAATTCTCACAGTCACACATAATATTCTGATTTAAACATATGTCTGTCCAGAAATCAGTGGTATCTTTAATAAACAAATTGAAACCTGCTTAGCTCAGAAGTGCAAAAGTGCAATTGTAACTGCTTAGCTGTGATCCAACTGGGGATATTTCTACTGGAATTTCCTCATAGTCCAGCTCTACTCAGTGCCCTTTTTCCTATAGAAATACTCTGTAAGAAACAAAATTATTATGACAAAAAGTCCAACAGAGACCATTTTTTTTATAACTGTGTCTAAATTCAGCCTGTGTATTTATGATCTAGGCCTCATCTGTGGCTTGACCTGCCGGCTGTGCTTGTTGTTTAATCCTGGCTAGCTGGGCTGCAGTGCCCCTTTGCCCAGGTTTTGAACTCTCCAGGGGCAAAGAGCAGCTTGTTTTCTAAGCTAAGCTTGAATACACAATATTTAATATACTGAGCAATGAGTCACAGCTGAGTGGGACTTCAGTTACTGTTTCCTGGCAGAAACTGAAACTTCACTGCATAAATGGTCTTTTTCATTTTCACCTGAAAGCCGAATGGCAAGAGTGGTGGGGAGCTGTGGCTTCCCGGGAGCAAAGCAGCACTTGGTTTGACTCCAAAGTTGGTGTGGGGCAGCAGTAGTAGCACCACCTTC